TGCAAAAATTTCATAAATTTCTAATATAATTGTTAATATTTATTGAAAAAATTAAAATATTAATAAAAATAAAATTTCAAATTTAATATCTCTGTAATTAAATTTTTATATTTTGTATACATCAAAGATTAATCAATGAAATGAACTTTATATTAAATGAAATTATATAAATATATATTAATGAAAAGTAAAGAGAATGATATATTTTGATAATACGAATATGTAGATAAATAGATATGATCATCCAATTTAAATACGTGCTAAAATTTATTAAATGGACAAAACAATTATTATCATTATATTTGATTAACAATTTGCTGACACATGAAAAGATATTTGTCATTGATGGTGAATACGAACAATTGTTCATACAAATTACACAGTCCATTAAATATTAGAGCGATATGAATCATAGATTGAATGAAATTCTAATCCAAACGATTATAGTTATTAATCAGTTTCAATTAAGAAATTTGATATTTATCAAAACAAAATCTGGATTAATCTTATATTTTCTTAATAAAACTTTTTAAAGTTTTTTAATTGGAACAATTGTTTTTTCATTCAAAAACATTTCTGAAATCTCTTCTTTCTTCATTTATTATTATTAATTAATATAATTATAAAAAATTAATATAACAAAAAGATAAATATATCTTCTTTTCAAAAATTAAAAATTCATTTTTTCATTGAAAAAAGAAAGAAAAAGAGATTAAAATATAAAAATTTGTATATATTAAAACGTAAATTAATTATTTGTATTTTTATGTGTAAATTCTATATAATAATATACAAAACATATACAAATATATACAAAAAAGTGAGAATTGAAGAAAATGTAAAGAAGATTTTTTCACAGAAAAATCTTTCGTCTGAGTTATTATTTGATGTTATATTGAGTTTAATAGCTTGAAAACTAAAACATCAATTATGAGTTAAGAATGAGAAAGAAGGAAATCCATTGGATCGCACGAATTTCATTTCAGTTGTGGAAAAAGAAGATAAGAAAGATTAATCCTTTGCACTATTTCAAATATATTTCTTACAGAAATAATGAAACGTTCAGAAACTAATATAAAAATTCCATGTTATGTATTAACTCAGATATTATTGTTTTATTTCATTCAAATCTTGATATAAATTTCATAAATTTTTTAAAATAAAAATAGCATGAGTGTTGAATAATTTTATATTGTATGAGAAAAGAGATATTTATATTTGTAATATAATGATGAATTATATCATTGTTAAAATTTTTTATGATTGCAAAATAATTTTGCAGTTTCTAGAAAATATAAGATGTTATAAAAATTCTTTGAATGATAAAAAAATAAAAGTTTACTATATTTAATTTTGTTTCTGAATCTTCAGAATCTTCTTATTAATTCTCTTAAAACAAAATTAATTGGCAAATGATAGATCTTTTTAGTATAACAAAATAAATTATCATATGAATTAATTAATAAAACTTTGTTTTAATTAAAAAAAAGAAAAGAAATAGAATAGAATAAAAATATATAGCTATAAAAGATGACAACGAAAAGAAAAAATACTATTATTTTTCTTCAAAATATATTTATTAATATATAATATATTTGTTAATTTTTAAAACATTTTTAAAATAAAATTTTGAAAAATTAAAAAAATAGAATTCTTTGAAATTATAAATTTTTGTACTGAAGATGGATTATAGCACAGATAATTCGTCTTCTCAACTCCCATAAGAAAGATAACAGACTAACAATAGGAATAATAGTCTTTATATGTGGCTTCGCAATAAGATTCAGTGGTGGTCGCAGTTATCATGTTCTTGCATATTAGTATCGAGCAAATTCGTACATGAATTTCTGATATATATATATTTACTTCGTACGATTTATCGTGAAAGTATATGTAATCGATCCGAGTCTATCATTTAAGAAGTAAAAATGCGTCATTG